CCCTAGAAGTCAATTTCCATAACTTCTTACCCTCTTATGTGCCTCTTAGATAACTTCCCGCCCCCTCTCACACTCGTCCTGCTTGTCTCCCTCATCCTCGTTCTCGTTCATCTCGTCCAATCCGTCCTCGACCTCGTCATTCTCGTCTGCTTTCTCATCGTTCTCCTTCTCTCGGTCTCTCAACAGTGAATATTACCAACATATTCTGCACCGCATACCTCGCGCCTCCCATTTATCATGGCGTGAAGTATATGTTCATTTCAGGCAGGTGTTACAGTGCTATTTGCATATGCGCGAAATTAAACTGGACAACGCTGTACTGTACTTCCTGTGTGTTGTGTTGTGTTGCTGTGCTAGCCTGTGTACCCCTGTGGTTGTGCCTGCCTGTCCACCCATTGTAGTTTTGCCTGCCTGTCCACCCATTGTAGTTTTGCCTGCCTGTCCACCATTGTGGTTGTGCCTGACTGTCCACCCCTGTGGTTGTGGCTACTTGGCCCAATAATGTCCAGGCCTACTATATATTATATCCTCCGAATTTAGGTTGCCTTATCATTTCCCTTTGCTGGCTTGCTCTCTCTCTCTGGGCTCTTTTTCCTTGGTCTGGGAAGACTCTCTCTCTCTCTATCTTTCTCTTAAAGATGGGTTTAGTTACCGGTAGATGTGCAATGAGATCACCGTGTGCAAGTATTAGGATGATCGATAGTGTGGAGCTAGTTCCTTCGATGAGAGCTTTCGCAATCCTCCAGTAAAAATGAGAATAAACAAGGTAAATGGCAGGGTGAAAAGAGGTTGAGGTTGGTGTTAGAGGGACGGGGCCATCTACTCTTCTAAATCGCATGCTGGGTGGAAGGAAAGAATTAATTTAGCCAAAACTTGCGAAGTAAGTAATGAAAGCTCACAGAGGTGTGAGCGACAGCGTTGGCGATTACATGGGACCCGCATTTGGCAGACGTCAGCGTTTGTGGAGTGATAAGAAAAGATCATTTGCAACAGTTAGGTTGTGTCTATTCCGTAACGTTTCGCCTTACACAGTAAGCTTCTTCAGTCGAATACTGCGAGGAACAGAAGCATTAGGAGGGGGTTAAACATGATGTTAATCAGGCCATCACCGTCGAAGACGTAGTATTGAGGTGATCAGTCCTTCAGCCTGGAGAAGAGTTCGGCTTAGTAGTCTCTAACAGTGTTTCCGTCTGGGACATTGTTCCAGACGAAACGCTTTCAGAATAAAGATACTAATTGTTGCACATGTGTCTTTCTTATCAACCTGTCGGTATTGTATACCATTATCACGTTCCCAGCGTGTGAGTAGGCCCTCTTCACTGGTGATAAGTCTGGCCTCGGTAATCTTCCTAAGGTGATTGTTGCGGTTACAATGATGGTCGCAGGGATCCCCGACTCACTATACCTCTCCTCAGTCACTATCCTTATGTTTTACTTGTCTCTGCATGAACTGATAAAATCCCTGGCTGACGAAAAGGCTTGTAATAAAATACCATAACTCGCACATTGTGTCGGTCCACTGTACCATTTTATATATTCCTGTCTGACACAGCGGAGTTATGGATATTTTACATAGAGAATATTTTTGACCTCTAGCCCAAAACTTACAGCTTAACAGCCATTCTTTCTTGGAGGATTACCTTTAGAGAAAGTCTTCCTGAAACCTCCCTTCCTCTGGAGCGCTTATATATTCCTGTAGGAGAGTGTTAGCTTAAACTTTTGGTACAAGCAGATAGTTCTATAACAGTGGTACCACCTTACGAAGTGCTGCCTCACCCTTTAACCCACTAGCTAGAACATACACCATTCTCAAATAAGACTGCCATAACAAGCAAACAACAGGAGCATTTAGAAAATAGCCAGGAACTACGACTATCTCTGCAACACCAACAAAATGGAATGTGAACCAAAACGAAGAAGCCTCCTCAACGTCTCATTCGTTTAGCAATTTTAATGCTAAGGGTATGGATCAAATGGAACCTTCCCTGATTTTAGCACGATGGTGTTGGAAGTTTGTAAAAAACTGTGTCTAAGCATTTTCTTTAAAATTGTCGGCTTTTTCTTAATAACTAGCGTGGTTTCTCACCATGTTTTCTCTAGTGGTAATGGTGAGAAAGCCGCGCACTCGCGCGCGCTAGAAACTGTATAGATATGATAGTCAGTGACAACTTTGTGAAATGATAGATGAGATAGAGAGAGAGAGAGTCGTAGAGAATGACATAGGTGTTTCACTGTGTTGGACCATAATCAAATGGCGACTAGTAACAAACAACCAATTGATCGGGATCTATCATCATTCCTTGCGGAAAAGTTTGGTTACTTTTTACCTTGGGAATAAACACGCAGAGAATTTAACACTAGAATTAAGGAACACAGAAATACTTGCCAGAGAGACGACACTAGCAATGTGTGCATTTTACATCGTATCACCTTGTAACCACTCGATGGAATTTTCCAGAGTTAAAATTATTTTAATAAAATGGCAGACGGACGCAGCAAAACTGTGCTGGAATCAGCTGTTATCCACGACTGCCAAACACCATTTCATAAAAACTCGAGGTCTATCACCATATCCGAGGCTTTTAGCATTAGTTCGATCTTCCTAATATACATAGTCATACCTGAGACCTCGGCCTCATTGCAAGTGACTTCACTCTCTACCTCATCCACCGTCCTCTCACCGCGATTAATGCTAACACTTAACACCTCACCTGCCCTATCTGCAGCCACATACAACCTCTGATTTTATCTGATTTTGTCTGCGATCTCGCGCGCTCGCTCTATCTCTCAGAGAGATATGAGGCGAGAGTCTTCTTATAACTTCCCATTACAAGACATTGTGCCTCATCATTATTTTAAAGAAGATATATAAATTTAAAAAACTTATCGCAGTCGAGTGAGTAATGAATAATGTGATTTTTAATTATCATTAGTGGAATTATTATTATTATTATTTGGGTAATTGCTGACCAGTAGGTGGTCATAAAAACCGGACTAGGAAGTAACCAGGTCCCTATCAGAGATCTAGCTCTCTCGCTGTGTGTGTCCGTGGTAGTATACTCATCCATCTCTCCATGGCTCAATAGCCCTTACCAAGTACACACCCCCCCTTCCTCCTCTCTATTCGCCACGGAGAAATGCTGCATACGACCAAACCCCCCCCGGATAGATAGATGTGGTCGTGTGTGTGTGTGCAAACGATTGTTTTCACTTATTAGGGATGGTGTGTTGTTAACGCAGATCCATCGATGTGTGTAGCGAATCCACATACCGTAGCTGTGTGTGTAGCTGTTGTGCTGTTACCGCTCGCTGCCAAGTGTGAAGATGTGTGTGTTTGTCGCGCGAAGGGTGATTTAATTGCTGTGACTCGCTCGCGCTCGAGCTAAGGAGAGAGATGAGTGTGTAATTTACGGGCTTGACGCGGTAATGTAGCTCAATAGCAGATGCTACATATTACGCCCGTTGAATTCTAACTCTTTTATGTCGAATTCGGAGGTACGTATATGCTTTTGTGATATAGTAGCCAGTCAATGTGTCCTGCAGTAATAATGAAACAATCCATTTCAGCTGAAAGGTAAATGTTAGAGTGTAAAAATTCAGGTTCAAAGGTTTAATAGAGGGTAGAGGTTATTGATGGCAGGTGGGTTACTGATTACAGTGACAGGTGAGTTACTGATTACTGTGACAGGTGGGTTACTGATTACAGTGACAGGTGAGTTACTGATTACTGTGACAGGTGAGTTACTGATTACTGTGACAGGTGAGTTACTGATTACAGTGACCGGTCGGTTACTGATTACAGTGACAAGTGGGTTATTGTTGAGTGCTGTGATAGGCGAGCTAACGAGGAGTACAGTGACAGGTGGGTAACTGTATAGTACTGTGACTGGTGGGTTATAAAGGTTGTGACAAGTGGGTTATTGATGAGTGCTGTGGCAGGTGGGAATCGGCAGACCTGTAGGGGTAATACAGCACCTGAGGAATTTAAGGTAATCAGGTTTGATCCAAGGATCCTTGGACCAAAAATCCTTCACCAGCATTAAAACACCCATTTTGATAGGCCAATCATTGATTAAGACAAACTTATTAGAATTACTGCTAAAAATTACTAGAAATAATAACTTCAGAAATAATAAAACTACTAAAATAATAATAATTATTATTATCATTATTAATGCTACAAAACACTACATATAAAATAATCATGAGACGAGTCCTGAACTAGTAACAGAAATGCAAAACATTGAGCAATTTGTACAGGCATGCAACACCATAAACAATGCGCATAGAGCGCATAGAGATGCAACACAACAATGCGTACAGAGGTGTAACACAATGTAAACAGGGTTGCAACACATACAAATTCATGCATCGGGATTTGTAGCTTCGAACCGAAAAAAATCATACCACCATATTATTTATATACAAATGTTTTTTTTTGCAAGGCTGGGATTATTGTTGTGGTGATTTTTAACAGTGTTGTTCCTCCCTGTGATTGTTACAGTACTGCCAGTCCTGTCAGTCATGGGAAATACCTCTTAGTGCCTGGGTTCCAACTATCTTCTACTTCCTCAGTTCGACCCTGATTGCTTTAACACGCTGAGAGAGAGAGAGAGAGAGAGAGAGAGAGAGAGAGTACGTTGGAAAGACTGACAGCAGGTTAGGTAAGGTTTGTCAGGAAACAGGATAAGTGTTTCCTCATGCGCGTCTTAGTCATTTGATAACCCACAGCTGGAGCTTTTGGTCATCTGACTGAAGTCTTCCGATGGGTTACCGACTGACAACAGGGTCCTTGCAAATTTACACCCAGGTTATCTGCTTATTAGAACTATCTACCTGTATCCAGATTAAGGATTGTTGTGAATTATCTAGGTGTATGAGTTAAGGATAAAAAAGCAGGACAGAGATAAATAGATTGAGAGAGAGAGAGAGAGAGAGAGAGAGAGAGAGAGAGAGAGAGAGAGAGAGAGAGAAAGAGAGAGAGAATTATGAATCCAAACCTTATCAAAGACGAGCTGTGGTCTGAGAAAACAGGAATTGGAGAGGGCGCCACCAGAACTGGTCTTTTCGAAGATAACCTGCAAATCTTGAGTCGTCTCCAGTATCGTGTGGGAATTCTCCTGAAAAAAAACAAAACAGTCAGCATTTTCATAACTGTCTCATTATTCTGTATTAATCGTTTCAACTTTAAAGATGGGTTTTAAACGGGATGATTAATAGTGAAGGAAATTACGGACATGTGAAAGGCAATCAGATTTATCATATACACCGGAAATAGTTCCATGTTATTAGCATATAGATGGAGAACTAAATCCGTATGGGAATGTTAATACAAGGATTGAGTCGGACAGGTGCGTTAGTCTAATGTTTGTTCTTATTCTTGAATATGAAGAGGGGAAAGGGCAAGGCTTTTTCTTTAAAATCTTCTGCTCAGAGGCCTAGTCTGTTGTCAGAATTATAACCGCTTCTAAACACTTTCTGCAAGTTCGGTTTTCTTCAGTGTAGCTCACGATGAAAATGATTTTTGTTACTCCGACCACAAAAAACTCTTAGGGACTTAACACAATTTAAGTTAAACATTAGAGATCAACATTCAGCGGGTGTACAAGCCATCCCTTGTTAGAGCTGTGTGATAGAATACGTAGGGTAAACAGGCAAACACACACCAGAAACGAGAATGACTCGTGTGTGGCACATGGACACGTAATAAAGTCACAGTATAAAATCGTCACAGGCAAAATTGCCTCAGAGCGAATTAGATTAATTAAGGGTAGGTTACTATAAGTTACTTTAGGTTACTTTAGGTTACTTTAGGTTGGGTTAGGTTACAGTAGATTAATTTCGGCTAAGTCAAATTAGGTTACATTAAGATTACGTTAGGTTAGATCTGGTTAGGTTAGATTTTAGGCTAGGTGAGGTTAGATTTTAGGCTAGGTGAAGTTAGATTAAGGTTAGGTTAGGTGAGGTGAGGTTAGATTAAGGTTAGGTGAGGTGAGGTTAGATTAAGGTTAGGTGAGGTGAGGTTAGATTAAGGTTAGGTGAGGCGAGGTTAGGTTAGGTTAGGTGAGGTTAGCCGACACTATATTCCAATATAAGCAATAAGAAACTTTTTTCCATGTGATCTCTTGTTTATCTGCCCAAAACCCTGAGACAGGAACACTGAGATGTAAGACAGAAACATTATGGGATGTGAGACAGGAACACTGTCTCACATCATGGAAGGGAAAGAAACCAGAAAAAAGTATTTAGAAGCAGCTTTACGTTCAGTATTCCTGAGTAGCGGAAAATCTCTGCTTGTCTATCTCTGTCCCATACACCTGGATAATGCACCACAATTCCTAATCGGTTAGGACTTCCAAGTTTTCTGCTACATGTAATTCCCTGTGGTACAGTAGGACTACCACTGACGCTTAAATCACTAGTCATTTTTCGAACTTTACCTGAAATTATTGCATACATAAATTTTCACTTGCCTTATTCGGCAAGAAGAGCGTTGCTATTTAAGCCAAAATCAAAGGTTTTACCTATTCATCACGACATTTTATTTCCTATATTTACTTGCGAAATTTTACTACATGTAAACGATATGTCGTGTATCTGTATTAATAAGTCTTGTTTTCTTGACACTTATCACTACTTGTTGGCTGTTGCTACAGTTTTACATTCTGTCTTTATCTGACGAAAACCAGAGCCTTGAACTACACCTTCTGACCTTTCAACATAAACCAGACATGAGAAGGATTTCTCAAGAGTAACTCGACTGGGAAATTGAAACCCAGACTAAATTTTTATGTCAGTTGTTGACACGTCAAGAACATTTTTTTACCCCAAGAGCAGAAGTATGATTAACTTTAAGCAATAGAGTCTAGTTTTATGACCCCATTGTTATTAGTTTCTTAAATATATCATTATAATCAAAGAAAGCGCTAAACCGACAAGGATCGTACAGCGCTGCGGGGCAGAAAATAGTGCTGGGGCTATAAACAGCTAGGTGGAGAGGAGATCAGAGGTAAGGGGAGAAATAGGGTGGACGGGCCACTCACCTCTGCAACCCCACCTCCTACTCCACCCTCCCAACCTCTTCCATTTTTCCAGCCCTCCCCTCCCTCTTCCTTCCCATCTTCACCAACCCTCAGGTCAGAGAACTTCGAACTTCGGGTGGAAGGGACGCTAAGGGCTACGTGTCAAAGTTCATATAGTAAAGCAGTTGCTGACAAAGTCAAAAAGTGATCGTAAGTCAAAGGCAGGGCCGTCCGTAAGTAGGGAAGATAAAGTAAGAGTGGCAGAGCGGCGGCGTTGGAGGTAAATCCTGCGAGCTCGTTGGTAAACCGGGCAATCTACAAGAAAGTGAAGAACTGAAATGGGGACCCGACAAACCTCACAGAGAGGAATAGGGTGTCTTTCCATGAGATACCCATGGGTAAGGTGAGTATGGCCGATGCGGAGACAGGAGAGTGCAGTCTCCTGAGTACGGGAATGGAGGAAAGATGGCCACAAACCTAAAAGCGGTTTAATTAATAGAGTGCAATTTGTTAGGGTGCATGTCCGACACCGTTGTTGCCAATGACGCGAAGACGCGCAGGAAATGACTGAAAAAACTCTCTGAACGGAATACACCTTAGGAAACAGGAAAAAGATCAAGTACTACGGCACCGCGCCCAAGCCATCATACGCTTGTTCATTGCCCTGCACCATCAACGTGTCAAAAGGACCACCAACAGAAGACGATCTTATGTGTCTCTGTAAATATGCACGGCAAAGTTTCATCTAATATGGCTAGTTTTAGCTGTCTAGCCTGTTCAGTTTCATCCTATCAGCGTTGCTAATTTCATCTATTCAGCCCGTGATAGTGTTTTTCAATATCCAGCCACTTAGTGTGGTTTCATGTATCCTGCCGTTGATCGTTGTTACCGGAATGAACCCCAGCAAATACAAGGTTATGAAAATTGAGGAGGGGGAGGGAGAATACCGAAAAAAACATTCTGTGAGAGAACCAAGGTGGACGCCCAGTCTGCCGAGGATTACTACCTAAGACGCACAATTTAATCGAATAATCTCTGCGGCGTATGTCGTTTTGACAAATTAGTCCTGAACGGCTTCAGGGGAGATGGAATATGAGTTGTGATTACAGGTGCTGAACCTGATTAAATTAGAGCTAGTTAACCAGGGGACGAATAAATAAACATACAAAATTCCTAGGAGATACTCTGACGAGATGAAGAGGAGGGGATCGCTATTCAGTAACAGAGGGGAAAAATCGCGTACACAAGGCACAGTTAGGAAGTTTAAAGACGACAGAAGAGTCGTAGGGATGTCTTAAGAAGGTATTTTTTTTTACAGTCTTTAAGCGTAGCCAGGAGGGTTTATGAACCCGGTGAGAAAAAGGGTGGTGGAGGCAGCAATCTATAACATAATTTTAAGAGTAGATGTACTAAGGCTCGGAGGCTTTGGGTCGAGGGAAAAGTTCAATAGATAGAGTAGCGAGGGTAAAGTAAAGTATTAGTAACAAGAGTTCATTGCCGGCTACTTGGTAAGTAGGTAGACAAGCTCCCCGCTTTCCCTTCTCCTCCTTCTTCCCCCCCCCGCTAAGGTGAGGTGGGGGCTCCGTCATCAAACACGTGCACGCTAGATCTAATCTGCTCTCCTTGCTCCGACTGGTAAGTATGGCAGGAATGGGGTTGAGAGGGGGATTTGGCGCGTGGTATGCGTGTATGTGACCAGTTAGGAGGGAGGGCTAGGGGCGGGTAGTAGGGGATGGGGGATTGTTGATCCATATGCGGGGTGGGATGGTACTTAGCAGAGAGAGGGAGGAGTACCTGTCTATCTTTCCATGGGTGGGACAGAAGGGGGTCACTGCCAATCAAACGGAGTATCTCATGAAGTAGCATTCCCCCTAATCTCAACCCATTATTCAACCAAACCATATCATCACCCAAACTTATACCACCCCCCCCCCCCCCCCCCCCAACACACCACCCCCCCCCCACTATTACTACCCATAAACCATACACCTTTCAATACCACCACCCCCTTCACAACCAATTTCATAAACAATACCCCCCCCCCCCCCCCCCCCCCCCCCACCCGCTCTCCCCCCCCCTTCCCCCCCCCCCCCCCCCCCCCCCCCACCCCACCCCTACACCCCCTGATCCCCCCCCCCCCCCCCCCCCCCCCCCCCCCCCCCCCCCCCCACGGCCCCACCCCCCCCCCCCACCCCCCCCCCCCCCCCCCCCCCCCTCCCCCGCCCCCCCCCCCCCCCCCCCCCCCCCCCCCCCCCCCCCGTCCCCCCCCCACCCCCCCCCCCCCCCACATAACTTTGGCAACGGTACCGATTTCCAACCCCAGCAAGGTCGTAACACCCACCCCCTCCCACTACCATCGCCCAGCACCACATACCACACAGTTTATATTACGGACGTTGAATTACCACCCCCCCCCCCCCCCACCCCTCCCCCCACCCCCCCTCCCCCCCCCCCCCCCCCACCCCCCCCCCCCCCCCTCCCGCCCCCCACCCCCCCTTCCCCCCCCCCCTACCCCCTCCCACCCCACTTTTCTCCACCCCCAAACCCCCCCTCCCTTTTCCCCCCCCCTCCCGCACCTTCCCCCCCTCCCCCACTTCCCCCCCCCCCCACCCCCTCCCCCCCCTCCCACCCCCCACCCTCCCCCCTAGGATTAATATTTCATATTTAAGTGTTTTTTATTCTATATTTTCTATATACTAAGTGTTGATGTTTGTCTGTTATTATTTCTTTTTCAATGCATTAATTTTTTGAGGAGGAGCAGCTTGGTAAATACTGTCGAAGTTATTACCAGGGCTGAGTAAGCCTGTACAAGTGGCGACTTGCAGGATCAACTCTACTGAATTCAAGATTCAACTCCATCTCGAATCTACCATTGGAACTTTCAAGCCGACATAACCACAGACAGTTACCACCAGCCATGAGTAATCATTCTCTATAGTAGGACTACTGTACAGGTATTTAAAAGATTGGTTGATTGTTAGGTCTCAATATATTGTAAGTCAAATTCAAGCAGGAATACTAGTTAATTCTGCCATTATTTTTGTGTGAGCTTGAAACACTTTGGAGGATTAGACTCTAGGCCCGGAGATTTTTCAGTG